ATTTACAGTGTCTATAGGAAGTTAATCGTAATACATCAACATTGGCTTTTATCGTGTTTTATATGACGCTTTTAGGAGTGCCAATGCCTCCTGTCGGATACATATGAGCCCCTTGTCCGGAGAGACCTAATAATTTTATACATAAAGACAGTGAACTAGTCTTGAGTGTGCTTATTTTCAATTTATTCTTCCTTTCTAATGGCGCGGCTTGCACTCTAAAGGACACAAATTAGTCAAATAAACGTAATGAGTAGACGCTCTCCGTACACACTTCGTCTATTGAATTGCCGAGACTTAGAAAATACGTGGTGAACTTTACTTGCCTGCTGAAAATTGATCGGTCTTTTTCTTAAAAAAACATCTACCATTTGATTTCATCAAGCAGCAGTTTTGTTCACTGGTATAAAGGTGGTGGGCAATTTCTCCTCAACAGTCGAAAATCTGAAGAGATCTCCGTGTGGCTTCGTTGAAACCTTTTGTCACAGAACATTCCATATCGCGTCATAACTGATGAACAAACTTAGTCGAATTTTGCTTAACTTGGGGAACTTCATCAAACAGTCATGTATACTAATAAGTCCATACTCCTTATTTGACTGTCAGCCTGCCTTTTGGACTCATATCAAGCCAACGATATTGCTAAATGCATATCTAGTTACATGAGGCTGATTGAAGGTTGGTAAAATAACGGGAAAGATAGCAAGAAAAGCCGCGTAGCAAAACGAAGTAAATGTGCGCAGAAACAAATAATTAGTTCAGTAGCCGGAACATACCGTGCTAAATGCTGATAACGGAAAGCCTTGGCTGCTGGCTAGAATAATCAGCCAATATAGGCATAAGATGTCATATTATCCATCTTATACGTTTCAGCAATTTGTGCCAAACCACATGTCTTGGGCAGTTCCGAAGTTTTACCTTAAGTGGCGCCCCACAACGAGCTAATCTACTGGGAATGTAGCTCCTTGGAAGACGCCTGTGTCACGTACGGTGTGGAGGACAACTTGGACACCTTAGTCGGCCCAGTGTCTTGTTGAGTGAAGTGGCTTACTGCG